CTTTTGTTGTTTTAACCAAAAAAAAAAAAACAAAAAACAAAAAACAAATTTGAAAAAAAAAAACTAAAAAAAAACAAATAAATTATTAAAAAAGTATTTGCTAAATCAAAGTGCATATATATATATATATATATATATTTGGCAAAAGATAGCGATTAACAAATAACTAAAAATGCTTTAAAATCTCAAGACAAAAGATTACATGCAAATAAGCAGTCTAAAGGTTTGGAGAAGATGTTTAAACTGCTAGATTTAAATAAGTAAAACTATGTTTGGTTCATTGAACTTAGCTTAAAATTTACTGTCATCCTCTACTATTCTTCTTTTTTCCATTTAAGTTCATTTTTCGATTTACAAGTGTGCTAAGTTGTTGAAGGGGGGGTTAAAATTGAAGAATTATTGATATTGAATATACTTTGTTGATTTCCTTTGCTCACTTACAATAATATATATACATATCAGATACAAGATATATTGCTAACAACCTAACTGACTAACCACCTCTAACTAATTCTGTTATAGCATATAATCACATGTGACACAGTACACCATATACTAAACTACTCCATTGTGATCTGCTGGATTATGAACTGCATTGTGATCTACTGGATCTGCTAGATTATGATCTGCAGATGGTCGTTCTCTATCATCCCCTGTCAAGCACATGGGCAAATGGGAGACCATAAGCTTGTGAGTCAAATAGGAGAAGTGAGCAGTGGAAAGGGGCTTGGTGAAAATGACAGCCAACTGGTCTGTTGTGTGAACATACTTGAGAATGAGTTGGTGGGCTACAACTTTGTCGCGAACAAAATGGCAATCGACTTCGATGTGTTTGGATCTGCTATGAAACGCTGAATTGGTGGACAAGGATATAGAGGACAGGTAATCACACCATAAGACGGGAAGAGAGGTGTGAGGAATAGAGAAATCAACAAGCAACATTTGAAGCCAAGTTAACTCTGCTGCAGTATGAACTGAAGAGCGATATTCTGCTTCAGTAGAAGAGCGAGATACTGTCGATTGCTTTTTGGAAGACCATGAAATAAGATTGTTGCCCAAGTAAACACAATAGCTAGAAGTAGAACGTTTATCAGCCAGATCCCCAGCCCAATTGGAATCACTATATGCATGTAGACCAAAATGACTAGAAGTAAAATGAAGACCATGGACCAATGTGCCTTTCACATATCTGAGAATGAGTTTAACTAAGGAGAGATGACCCACCGTGGGAGAGTGCATGAATTGACAGGCTTGATTCACAACATAAGACAACTCGGGTCTGGTGATTGTAAGATATTGAAGGGTCCCATCAATGCTACGATAAAGAAAAGGTTGGGCGCATGGCAGAGAATCAGCAGCTTCGTTTGGAAGTTTGACAGATATAGGTATGGCATAGGGTTTGCAATCAACCATGCCTGCTTTGACAAGGAGTTCTGTAGCATACGTATACTGAGAGAGGAAGAAACCATGAGAATTAGGTTGAACCGAAATGCCAAGGAAGTAGGAAATATTGCCTAACTTTTTCATAGAGAAAGCAAGGTGCATATGAGCCAACAAAGTTTGAATATAAGACTGATTATTGCCGGTAAAAAGAATGTTGCCCACATATATCAAAATGTAAGTAACAGAGGTTGAAGATTTGCGGATAAATAATGAAGAATCACACTTGCTTTGAATAAACTCTTCGGAGAGAAGAAATGAAGAAAATGTGGAGAACCAAGCCCGAGGATCTTGTTTGAGACCGTATAGAGCCTTGTGGAGCTTACAAACTAAAGAGGCATTTTGTGGATCAACAAACCCCAGTGGCTGGTCCATTTACACCTCTTCCTAAAGCTGGCCATGTAAGAAGGCATTGCTAATGTCCATTTGTTTAAGAGGCCATTGATAATGTAAGACCAGACAAAGTAAGACAAAGTAAGATACGAATGGTGGGTTGTTTGGCCACTGGACTGAAGGTGTCCTGAAAATCCACACCCTGCTGTTGGAGAAAGTCCTTAGCCACAAGGCGAGCTTTGTATCAAGCAATAGTGCCATCCGAGTTGCATTTGAGTTTAAAACCCCACTTGCAGCCAATAGATTGTTTAGAGGATGAGAGATGAACAAGAGACCAAGTACCCTATTGCTAAAAAGCAGTGTATCCATCCATCATGGCTTGAAACCAAACAAGAGAAGAAAGAGCATGTGTATATGAAGTGGGCTCTGTGAAAGAATCAGTAGGAAGAGAAGGAGAAGAAAGAGAGGTAGACAAACAGAAAGGCTTGCTTTTGGATCTGGTTGTCATGGGATGAATATTAGTAGAAGGAGTAGGGAGAGGTAAAACAACTTCGATAGAACCAATTGGAATTGAAGGAGAAAAGGTATTCTGAGTAGTAGGGGAAGTCAGGGCTGCAAAATTGGACTAAGCAGGAGGCTGAAAATGCAACAGACTGAGGTGGGACAGACTGTGGGACAATAGCTTTAGCTGCAGAATTGGGCTGAGCAGGAGGCTGAAATGCAGCAGTCTGAGGTAGGGTAGACTGTGAAACAGCAGGTTTAGCAACAGCAGCAGGTCTGTGAATGGAATGGGAGGCAGCAGAGGGAAAAATAGAAGAAGGATGCCAGAAAAAATTTTGTAAACTGGACAAAGAAGGGGGGGAAGGAGCCTAAGTAGAAGAAGCAACAAAAGGGAAAATATGTTCTTGAAATCGAACATGTCTAGAAAGAAAAATAGAACCTGTGGCAGAATTGAGACAGCGGTACCCTTTAACAGATGGATGATAGCCAAGAAAAATGCAAGGAGTAGATTTGGGAGCTAATTTATGAGAGGAGTATGGCTTCAACCATGGAAAACAGAGGCATCCAAAAACTTTGAGATGTGTGTAGTCAAGTTTGGTTTTAAAAAGAAGTTCAAAAGGAGAGCAGTTCGACCGAGAAGCACTAGGAAGTCTATTGATGAGGTATGTAGCAGTAACTATGGCATCAAACCAGTAGGTAAGAGGTAGAGAAGAATGATGAAGAAGAGAGACCGCTATTTCAGTGATGTGCAAATGGTTCCTTTCCGCAACTCCATTCTGAGATGGAGTATGAAGACAAGAGTGCTGATGAAGTATGCCATGGAGATTCATAAAGTTCAACATGGGATGGTTAACAAATTCACCTCCACCATCTGTACGAAAAATTTTAAGAAGAAGACCAAATTGTTTTTCAACAAAGGCCTTAAAAATCATTAACTTGGAAAATACTTCACTTTTATTAAAAAGAGGATAAATCCATGTGAATCGACTGAAATCATCAACAAACAGTACATAATATTTGTAACCAGTAGAGGAGCCATGAAATGGACCCCAAAATCACTATGAATCAAAGACAATGGATTATTAACAGTAGAATTTGAAAGTTTAAATGGAAGTCTATGACATTTGGAAATAGAACAATCAATACAACTCAAGTCATTTTTATTGAAAACAATCGACAAATGAGACTTAAGTGGTTGAAGCTTTGAAAAAAAGGGATGGCCTAGTCTTTTATGCCAGATTTCAGCAGATGATGATGAACCAGTAGTGGAAAATGCAGCAGCAGTAGATGGAGGCAAAGACAAAGCAGGAGGTGAAGTAAAATGATATAAACCATTGGCATGATATCCTTTTTGAAGAATAGCCTTAGAAACTTTGTCCTGAATGGCAAAGGAAGAGTGATAAAAAATGATAGAGCAATTGTTGTCTTTTGCTAACTGTTGTACTGAAAGAAGATTAGATGAAATAGTAGGAACATGAATGTGAAAACCCTGATCCGTAATTACATATTATGCTAATTAATCTTTGTTATGAATATGATTATGTGTTTGATATGATTTTGAGTGCCATGTATATGAATATATGTGGTTTTGAATTTCTATATGTTTGCCGTAGGAATATCTGTTTGATTGCCTGCTTTGGAATTTAAATTGAAGGCCTTATCGGCCACAGAAACTGAAATTGACTACGCCATTGTGATTGGCATAATTTTTAGAGCCTACGGTGAAATTTAATTGAAAATTGATTTGGATCAAAATAATTAGATTCAGAACGATTAATTAAGTGTTATTATTTAAGTCTAATCAAATGTGATTAGTGAGAGGCTATAAAAGGAGCTTTATTATACTTATTCATCTATTTTGAGCTCAAAGCCGAAAATTGCTCTAAGGAAAGAGAGTGAGGGCCGGCTAGAGAAAGAGACGGGGACAATTGAAGTTTTGATCTTGAACTTGAATGATTTGAGGACTAACTCAAGAATTAAGCATAAGTTTTGAAGATTAAAGCTCCTAGGTGTGTAATCAACCCTTAACTCATGAGTTTGAGTTGTGATTTTGTGAATTGAAGATTAAATGGTGAGTTAGAACATGAGTTGTGTTGATTTTGATGAGATATGTACATGCATGCATGGAATTGCTATGAATTGCCATAAATTTGCATAATCTAACATGCAGTATGTCAATTATAAAAGATTGAGAGTTGGATCATACATGCAAGCATGTTTTTGTTGAGTTTCATGAGAATGAACACCATTTGCGTGATTTGAAATAGAAATGAAGTCAAAAATTGGCATGCATGTTTGATTGTTAAAGATATGGAGCTTATATGAGGTTTGAATGCATGAGCCATGATTACACAAAGGAATGTTGATTAATTTTGAAGAGTTGGACCATGATTTTGAATGATTGACCCCATGTTGCTTACATCCATATGCTATATAATGTATTTGCATGTTTTGGACTGAAATTATGAGTTTTGGACCTTTGAAGGTCGAGTTTGAGCCCCAAGAACAATTCTGGATTTTCCAGAATTTGGCATGTCCGCTTGAGCGGGGAAAGCACCGCTCGAGCAGGAAATACGAGCTCCCAGAAGTTTTGCATACATGGATGTCCACTCGAGCGGGGAGCCATGTAGTGAGATTTTCAGCTCGAGCGTCCGAATTCATGCTCGAGCGTAAAAATGAGGCAACCAGTACTTTTGCAGACCTAATGGGTCCGCTCGAGCGGGAAAGTCTACGCTCAAGCGGGGACCCCTGTTTCAGAAAATTTGTAAAGGTGTTCTGTGTTTCATTTTCTGTTCTCTTTCACTTCTAAGTACTCTTAGGCACATATTGAGCATTATGAATGAATTACAAGAATAAGAAAGAAGCCTAAGAGGGATGTGTGAATTAAGAAACAGAGTGAATCGTTTGTGACCCATTTGTGTTATGTAATATGTAAGGTCAAGCTCAAGGGTGAATCCATCGGCAGAACACTGTGAGTAATATCTTAATAAAGATGTTGTGAAGTATGTTATTTGTCCAATTGCTCATTTCCCTATAAGTCTTATAAGCTTGTTAATTTAAATTGTGAACAAATGTTTGCTATGCCAATTGAATGGGCCAACAGCCAATTTGACCTGAATGAAAGAATGAATGGGCCAAAGGCTCGTGTGACATGAATGAAAGAATGAATGGGTCAAAAGTAGTCTAACATGAATGAAAGAATGAATGGGCCAAAGGCCAATTTGACATGAATGAAAGAATGAATGGGCCAAAGGCCAGTCTAACATGAATGACAGAATGAATGGGCTACAGGCCGTTTGACATGAATGGATTGGGCCTGAGGTCGCCTGATGTGTTTGGAACCGCAGTTACTTAATATATGTATATATATATATATATATTAGATAGAAATGTGAATTGGGCCCAAGGTCGTTTGGTGCATATTGTTCTAAATACTGTTCGTGTATCTTCCTTATTTGATATTATTCATTAGGCTTTTGCTCACGCTCATTCATGTGTCTGTAGGTGAGCCAAGGGAGGTCCAAACCCAGCCTCAATGAAGCTTGTGAGAAACAATCATGGTTTTAAAGAGTCAGCCCATACGTCTCACGCACGAGACTTGTTTTCGCCCTTTTGCTAGTTTCCTATATTTTGTCATGTTGGCGAGAACTTTGGTCTACGGTTGTATATAGTTTTGATTGGCTGACTTAGACCTGAATGATCTTGTATGTATAGAACTATGTGTTATTACGTATTTTGACGTGAGTTATTAACATGTATGTATATGGATTGTTATGACGTGCCATGTAAGCACAGCTCTATGGACAAAGTTTTAAATTTACTTTTGTTTGGCCCCTTTACTCTGATGAGTTATGTCTTTTATGGTTTGAGGCCGTAGGTAATCTCTTGATCACTGGCCAGTTATGCCCTTAACCCATAGGGGCGGGTTCGGATCATGACAATGAAGAACTTTGTTAAGTTTAAGAGAATGATGTGATGTTGGAAAAATACCTTTTCCAGTGTTGTGAATAGGGAGAGAGTCACCACTGCCAATAGTAACTTGGTCAGGACCAGAGTAAGGCTAATAGGAGTTTAAACAATGAAGATCATTTATCACATGTTCAGAGGCAGCAGAATCCAGAAACCAAGAAGTGGAGTGCTGAGATGTAGTATCATCAGTCATGGAGGCAACGTAAGCTTTGGAATGAGTTTGAGAGTGAGATTGTGGAGAAAAACATAATTAAGACTAAAATTCAAAATCCAGTCGATGCCAACAACCCAAGGCAGAGTGGTTAGGTTTACCACAGATTTGACAAACAGAACCAAAATCTGATCTACCTGACCTGCCACGGTTTGAAGATCTGCCTTTGAAGTTTGAAGATCTGCTTGGACCAGATCTATATGATCCTCGGTAGGAACCTCTTGAGTCATGGCGAGAAGAACCGCGATTATTGTGATAAGAAGTGAAACCTTTTAATGATTGAGAATCCTTCATTGTTGCATAGGCAACAGTAAGAGTAGAGGATTGCTTTATTTTTCCTTCAATGTGAATTTCTTCTGAA